AAGTGAAGCATAGACAGAAGTTTTATAAAGATAGGTTCTTTAGGTTCAGTGAGTTATCTCTTCCTCCACCTTCCAGTTGGGCTTTTCCTTTGTTGACAGCTTATTGTATTTGTATAGCTGTGGTGTCAGCACTAGGTTCATATTACACTGCAGAAATACGAGAACACCATCCTGTTTCTTTAATCTCTTATCCTGACTTCAAACCAAGTGCTCAGGAAGTTTGTCCATACATGTACCACTGGAATGACACAGAGGCAGGCTCAATCAGTGTTTATTTTCCAGCAGATCCCATATGGAGAATTTGGTGTAGTAGCACAGAAAATCTAAACTTTGCCTTTGGCAGTTTTGAGAGGCTGGTTGTCTACTTCTGTGTTGGGCTTTGCATTTTAACTGATGCACAAATGCCTTTTGTTGGTTGAGCAATGTTAAACTGATTAGTCATAAAATGGAATAAGACCTAAGAAAAAGAACTCCTGTAACTTGGCTTTTTTACTCTAAGAAACTGTCAGCAATGAAAACATTTCACAGCCAGGCTGGAAGGAATTTAATTCACGTAATGACATCACTCTGAAGATTTGGAGCATGATACTTGTTAGTTAATTTTCCTTTTTTAAATTAAACTTTACTTGTGACAGAGTATGGAGGAGTAAAGAAACAGTTGCCAATAGAAGTTACTTTTGTCAAATCTTTTGGTGAATTTTACTTTTTTGGTGTGAGACTTGCTGGAATTTGCTGTTAATTTTTTTTCTTGTCTTTCATCTACTTCTTCAGATAGTGTTGGGTGCTTGGAGTTTTTCCTGTAAGCTTCTCTGATACTCCGTGTAATTCTGATTTTGAGTCCTTCTACAAAGTTAAGAATAGAATCAGTTCATAAACTAATCCTTAATTTTGCATAGGATTTTGCAACAGTAGATACTTATCAGCTGAAAACTTCAAAAGTTTATACCATCAGATCTTTAAAAGACAAAATTTTAAGATTAAGAAAAGTCCCATAATCTTATTGCTCTGTAGTAAACCCTGATTAGTATCATGGAGTTTTGGTATGCTGTTCATTAAGTCAATTTGATTATGGCCTAGTTTCATCTGCAAGTTTACCGGTATTTGAGGAGGGAAAGTGTAGGGATAAAATAAAAATAAAATGTAAAATACTAAGTTTTAGCCTAGGTTGCAGGTATTACAAAGGGAGATGAAAATCTGCAAGTCAGAAATGTATTCATTTTTGAATTAATATTATGAGCTGAAAATACGTGATTTTCCACTTCAAAAAAATCTGCTTCTTTTGAAGAGTTATTCTTCAGACTTTGGACAGGATGGTACTTTGAGCTGAAAGTATTTCTTCCTGTATAGATTGCTTTGCTTTGGTTTGTGTTCTGAAAACCTTTCCAAGGTCCTTCTTCTTTTTACTTTCAGGGAGAACAGTTCTTCACATAGAATTCAAATTTTATGCAGCTGTGTGTACTGAATCCAAATGTTATGTGGCTGTAAATCCCACCTTGGCTTCCTGAGTATTGGCTCCTTTATAGGGCTGCCTCCCTTGTGGCAGAGGGTGTGTCCATGGCACACCGAAGAAATTACACAGAAGGAACTGATTTTTTTTTTAACATTGGCTAACAGAAGAGTTAGTCTGCGTTAAAAAAAATAGACTAAAATAAGAGTTAAAAAAAAGAGTGACGAGCCCAGTCCCTGAGGTGAGTTATTTAGTATTACAGTCAGGGAACTGCAGGTCCTTAGCACAGCCCGGTGTAAGGTGCAGTTCAAAAATCAGAGTTCATGTCACCACTCAACTTCCAGTCTTTGAATTAGCAAATCTAAATCAGAGTTTTCAAACAGATGCATCCTGCAGAGTACAAAGTAGTACATCCAAAGCCCAGTAAGAAACTCAAGTTGTAAATCTGTACAGGAAATGCAGTGGGAACTTCAATGTCATTGTTGGTTTATGACAGTCCAGGTGTGGACTGTTACTGGAGGCAATAGTTCATTTGTTCTGTGGCTGCTGCTGTGAGGGTAGCAGGAGCTCATGGCTACAAGTGAGCTCTTACACCTCTGATAGTCACTTCTAAATCTAAAGGTGCTGTACGACTGCAGTTGAAGACAGCCCAACTAAAGTTCACTATCTTGCTCCTTTTGTGGATTGTTCCCAGTTTGCAGAAGAGGTCTGTGAGCTGATAAGCAGGTCCTTTAAAAGAGAAGAGACCAGGAGAGCTGATGAGGTGTTCTGTGTGCTTAGGAGAGAGTGGTTATATCATTGGCCTGTGTACATTTCAGAGCTCTAGTTCCTGCTTGGTGAATCACCTTGTAAGTACAGCATGAAACTTCACACATTTGCTGTCTACAAGCCTGTCTTGTTGATCACTGACAGGACAACTTTTAAAAAATACCCTTATTTCAGCTATCATGCTGGACACTTAGGTTCCATTCTGTGTGCACTTCTGGAACTCTGAAATGCATTAGAGACTTCCTTGCATTAGCAGGAAATATTTCCTGCTACTGGTGCCTTTTTGAGACACATTGTTTGGGAAAAGTTCCCTTTTTCTATTATGACTTCTGCGGAAGAGAAGACAGAAGTTAATGATGTGGTATGGATTCTTTATGGCTTTGTTTATGGGTTTATCAAAGTGTTGTGCTTGTTGGTTTATTTTCGTGCTGATTGCTTTGATACTTGCTCCCTACCATACTAGTGATTTACTTTTAAAATTACATTTTTAGCTGATTCATAAATAGATGGTTGTATATTATGAAAAAAATAATGTGAACATTATTTTTAATATTATTGCCTGTTTTGAAGGTTACAGAATTGATATCTGATGATTTTTGACATTTGTAAAACCGTTTGTCGTTTCAGGCTGACAGAATGCAGAAATTTGTGTCCAAGTCAGGACAGATATGTGTGTTCCCGTAATCTGTATTTTGTTCAGAAGCATTTTGAAAACTAAAAACAAACAAACAAACCAAAACCCCAAAAGAAGTGTGCTTTCATGAAATTTAGTGTTTTTTGTCCTAACAATATGTTGCTTTTTATTTCCAGTTTTTCAGGTCTGAATACTAAAAAATGAGGTAAATGAGAACAGTGAAAGAAACTGTTTGTTCAAGTTGGCTCACATAAATGTCAGTTTTCTCTAGTATCATAGGCAAGCCTTTTAGTGACATTCAGTATTCTTCTCTCAGTAGGGTTTTTTTTCCTTTACCTTTTTTCTCCTCTGTGTTGCTGGTACTTCTCCAGAAAGCATGGTCTCTGAGTGTGCATGTCACTTCTTCATCACTTTGCAGGAACTGTTCTTTTTCTCCTACTTGTTCTCAGCTGTAGCAAACTTACTCATCAAAGTTGTTGTTCTTCAACTAACAGATCATCTCAGTTTTGTTGTTTAGGGTGCATAATTCCACAGTTAGCACCCTCATGTAATGGATTATTTCACCAGAACCAGTGGAAAATAGCAAATCTTGAGCATTGTCTGCAGCTTTCTTCTCGTTCATGGTTTATATTTCTGTCTGATTCATATTGCTCCAGTGCAGTTGCATCTTTAGTATTTGTTTCTTCAGAAGTTAAATGAGATTATAGTTCATACAAAAGTATATCCTATTAAGATTTCTTAATGAAACCTTGTGTATTTCTGCGTCCTGGCATTTTTTTCTTCCTTATTTGCCAGTGTGCTTTTACAAATATGTTTACAAAGGCTTGATTTTTGAGATAAACAATTTTATTGTGTAAGATACAAGTGTGTACTTCATATCTTTGTGGCTGTTGATAATTCACTCCTGTTTGCAGGTTACTGCAATGTCTTTTAAGTGTCACTGTCATATAGGTAACAATTTGACTTTGAATATTTGACTGGAGAAAACTTATAAATATTTAGAGACAGGATAAGGACTAATCAGAAATATTTGAAGAATGTAGCTCACCAAATATCTACAAAACCAGCAATGAAATGCATCTTGAGCTAGAGAAGTGCAGTTAGCAAGAAACTGCTTTAGTTCTAGCCACGAATACTTTGAGGTAGCAGCACATCCTTGAGCAGCGTGGACAAAGCTGTGTAGTTAATGACTCAGAAGCTGTGTGCCTGCAGGTGTAAAACACAAGGACAGCTCTGCCATATGCACCCAGCAAGTGGCTGTGTCCTGACTTCTGAAATTAACCACATGCATTGTCTTGGCTTGTTACTCTTCTTTTGCTTGTAAACATAGTTGTAAACTTCTGGTTATGGTTCTGATTTAACTTTGGCATTATAAAAAATGGCTGGTTTTGCATAAGTGGGCAATGAAGGGAGTAGAAGATAAGCTTTTGTAGAAAACAATAGTTTCTGTGTATGAAAGTTCTTTATATGAAGCATAGCAAAAATTATGTGATAGTCTGAGTAGCAGCAAGGATTTTTTAAATCTCCTTGTCATATACTGTGCTTGCAAAATGAAAATTACTGTCTCTGTTAGTCTTCTGCAATAAGTTAATCCTTTGTACTGGTGACAAATTGCAAAGAAAACTGTGTCCACTTGGTGGAAGTTCCTGGTAGGGGTGAGGATGGTACAGCTGTATTAATATGAAGTTTGTGGTAGTCAGTGCAGCCTGGGAAATCAGTTCCAGTCACCTAGTCACCTATATTCAATGAATTTTTTTCTGAGCAGGATAATCAGCAGTACAGGTTTAGTGCTGCTTCCCCAAAGCTTCTCCTTCCCATGTCTTCCTTTCCAACTCCTTTCCCTTCATTGCCAGGCATACCTCTCATTCTCATTTAAAGCAGCCCAACCCTCACCCTGCTTTTGCTGGCACGGTGCCACCTGGCAAGGCAGACACTGCAACCTGACAGCCTTGGGAGAGGTGGAGGAGTGGGAGGATCTCTTCAGTCTGGGAACAGCTCACTGCAGCAGCAGTACTGGGCATTCTGCTGTACCCCAGCAGAAAACACCTTCACCTTGAAACTACCTTCTGAGCTTTCACCTACATAAAGAAATCAGTGATTCCCAATATCTGCAATATTACCTTTGGGTTTGTTTCTTTTTTTCTGTTTCAGAAAGGAAAAGGTCAAGACATGTCTGCCCATTTAAAGTACCTTTCCTTGGGCATCCTGGTTTTTCAGACCACAAGTTTAGTGTTGACCATGCGCTATTCTCGGACACTGAAAGAAGAAGGACCTCGTTACTTATCCTCTACTGCAGTAGTTATTGCTGAACTTCTGAAGATTTTGGCCTGTGTTCTATTAGTCTACAAAGACAGCAGTATGTGTCAAATTTTGCACCAAGTAATTTTCCTAATCAATATGCTGTATTGTAGTGGCAACTGCAAAGCAGCCATGTGAGTACAGGCATACAACAAAGCATTTCCCTTCTTGTGTAAGAAATAGTCTTGGAAAGACAATAATCATACTGCATATTTGCTTGAGAGAATGAATACTGAGGAGGGCAGGAATGAATTTTATGCTAACATCTCAAAGTTTGTGTTTGCTCAGACATTTTAAGAAATCTGTATGTAGAAGTAGGAAAAAATGAAAAGCTGTAAGTATGTCCAAAGCATGAATGATAATTTAGAAACCTGTGATAAATGGCAGATGCAGAAGGGAAGAAGCAATTTCATTGTTACATGAAGAATCATAGTTTTAAGCTAAAAAAAAGAAAACTGTATTCACATTTACTCCAGTTCTTATTTTGTATATTTAAAACTGAATTTGTCTAGTTTGTGTTTGATTTTCAACAGCTTAAAAATGTCAGTCTATATATAAATATTGACGACTATAGGATTCTAAATATGTACTTTTTATATGGTAGTCTTTGATACATTATCTTAAATTATTGAGGCGATTTCAATAAGTTTAACTCAAAGTATTTTGAATACTTTTTTTCGTTCTGATATTCCAGGCTGCCGGAGGACACTTGCAGCCATATTTCACATGTACAAGGCCTGTGAAAGTGAAACAAACATAGATGGTATTTTCAGGTCTTGGTGTAGTGATAGCTATAAAAAGGGGCTACAGTTTAAGAACAGAACATTGCTGTTTCTCTTTTTTTCTACTCCTTTGCTTTTAGTGAATGTCTAATTTTTTTTACTGTTTCTTTGGGTAGAATGCAATTTACGAACTCTGAACAGAGTGCTACGTGATGAAATCCTTAACAAACCAATGGAAACCCTTAAACTCGCCATTCCTTCAGGAATTTACACTCTTCAGAACAACTTGCTATATGTAGCATTGTCAAACCTAGATGCAGCAACATACCAGGTATTGCATGTTTGGAATTCTCTGTAAGCTTCAAAAAAAAAACGCCCTTGAATTGTAGTAGTAGTAACTGTTCCTGGTTCTTCTAGGTTACATATCAACTGAAAATTCTCACCACAGCACTGTTTTCTGTGTCCATGTTGAGCAAGAAACTGGGCGTATACCAGTGGCTGTCACTAGTAATATTGATGACAGGAGTGGCATTTGTGCAGGTAAATATTAGCAGGTGTTTTGTGGGGTTTTAATGTGTTTATTCAAGAAACATGGATTTCTATACTGATTATCCAGCTTTCTGATTCACCAGCTGCACACGAGCACCAGAGTATAGTCAGGAGCTACGAATCACAACTGGCCAGGTCTGGAGGACACCAGAAATGGTTCAAAGGCAGAAGATAACACCTCTTTTGCAACCCAGTGCTCTACTATAGAATGTGACAGGGCCTCTGCAGCAACCTGCAAGTAATAATGATAGCAATTTTTATTAGCACGTTTCTTCAGGCATTAGGAATTCAGAGATCTTCTCTGCCAGGACAGGCTGTGTTCACTTTGTCATATGGATTCATGGCAAATTTACTTTGGACTAATTTCAAAAACCTAAATTGGCCTCAGTTCTCAACAGTGCAGGTATCAGAGTTCATAGTTTTCAGAGGCCAGGATCATAGGATAAGAGACTATTCTAAGAATTTTTAGCAGATTTTAGTATACTTGGAATTCTTTATTTTAAAATTTAAGGATTTGGGAAGAGATATGGTAATTAAATTCAATAATGAAAAAAGAGAACAAAATACTCTGACAGTATTTAACAGATTTCTCAGAAAGTTTTTGTCCATGGCATTGCATTTTATTGAGCTAGCCATAGACACATTGCAAGATTTGACTGGTCTGCACAATCACCAAAGAGGGACACATGAAATAGACATTTCATCCTACCTTAAAGACAGCTGGTGTAAGTAGTTTTCTAGCTGTGTTTATATTTGTAAGGTAAACAACTGTTGGGTGGCACAAGTTGCTGACAGAGAATGACCATGATAAATCACACTGGGATTCAAAACCAGTTCTTGCTTATAAAATATAAATGCTGCAGCTGCTTAAATTGATGAGTATTCTCCCAGTTCAGGCACAATTTTACTGCTTACAAATACATAGAAAAATAATTGTAGCTTTGCAGTCCTTTAAAAGTATTTATGGTGCAAAATACAAAACTTTTCAAGCATGTGATTGTGTGTATTTAGCAACTGTTACTGTTGGTGGAAAACAAATTTGCATTTTGTAGATGCTCATGACTTGATTTCATCAGTGAATTTTGTGTACTTGTTCTTACATCCAGTGGCCTTCAGACTCTCAAGCAACACCTGCTAAGGAGCACTCAGCAGGATCACAGTTTGTAGGCCTGATTGCAGTTCTCATAGCGTGCTTTTCTAGTGGATTTGCTGGAGTTTATTTTGAGAAAATTTTAAAGGAAACTAAGCAGTCTGTGTGGATCAGAAACATTCAGCTTGGTAAGTTTATTTTTAATCATCTGTTAGAGATATTGTATTCTGAAGCATTAAGACAATTGTGCAAAATAAATGTATAAATAAAAAATACCACCAACATTTTAGTATGCTGCATATATGTTGTTTTATAACCAACAAAGTCAGACTCTGCTAGAGGGAATTATAGCAGTTGCTTTCTGGTTTCGGTCTAGTTCTTCATTTACATTGTTAATAGAGTATCTGTACATTTGTGCAGAAACTGTCAATTGATTTTTTTTTACTATTTTTTAGAGAATATAGGAATATTAAATCAAAATATATTTCTAAGTCAGTGTTTTGAGATGTTTTAAAAGTAATGTATTTTTTTCTCTTGTGCCTGGGTAGGCAGCTTTTTGTATTAAAAGTGCAAACTATAAATTCTGCTTTGTTTGTGAACAAAGTGGAAATAATTATTTACTGTTATTTCAATACCAAAGGTCAGTCTTTTGTGTGCATAATCACTGAGGAGAGGCATATGCAAAAGACCAGTCCATTTTAACTATTTGTACAGCTGTACCTACTGTGCACCTATCAGTGTGCATCACATTATATGAACATCACCTATATTAACATCTATTAACCACTCTAGTCTTCACCTGTAGGCAAAAACTGTTTATGGCATATTTGAATGAGTGCACTGAGCAGAATTTGGCCTTTCCAGTGCCTTAGGATGGACTAGGGGTCAAATCCACAGTGTAAAGTTAAGTCATGAGATGATTTAGTGGATCAGAGCTGTGTGGTGAGTCTGGTGGAATGTAGTGCAGTACTGTAACAACAGAGATGGTGTGGCTTCTTTTGTAATTAGTTAGTTGGTCAATAAGCCATCTTTTTTCCTCTATTTTCCTACTACTGTATTTTAATTATAAGTGGTTTCAGTTTAAAAAGCAGAGGTTAATTTTGAATGCCTTAAATCATGTTTACGTGACCATAAGTGTTTTGAAACTGCGTATAGTGGAAGGAATCAAAACTTCTCCTTACTAGATGCTTGTATTTATGGAAACAGTGTCTGTTCAAACTAAGTTTCCTGAACAGAGTGTAGGGAATACAACAGGAAACATTATGTTAGGGAATTTTGGGGGCAGAGAAGTGTTGCTAGCTGGGGATTGGTCCAGGATTTAAGGTGAGATTTGGTATTTTGGGTGGAACTGCAATATAAAATCCATTGCCAAGGAAAGCTGATTATTGTTACTCTCAGTTTCTATGCTACATTAGCAACAGATATCTGAAATAAATTCAAGTGAGAATTCATAATTGTTGATAAATCAATAATCTCAAGTATTGTTCATGTTTTTCTACAGCACACAGAAGCATGTACACTTAGTTTGATAGCTGGCCTGGTCATATATTGAATGTTCCAGTAATTCTTTGTGAAACAAGGAGATCAGAACAGACTGCTGAATGCTGACTCTTCAAGGTTATGAATGACTAGGACAGAGATATATGAAGACATAAATGCCTGATTATAGTGAGAATCAGATACCTGAGTCTTGTATTTACTTTTGTAGTGAGCTTAATACGCCTCAATAGGAGGTTCAGTAGAATGTGTTTATTACTGAGGTTGTTCTCAGTTCAAAAATAATGCTGTCATATTTCATTAAGTTTTTTAGAAACTATTTAAATACATAAATACAGTTAAACAATACATATTAAATACATATAAAAATAAACACAGCTTTTACAGTACAGCTTTCATAAAATATGTAAAATGTGAAATCGCGTTTTCAAAAATACACTGGTGTCTTCTTTTTGCAAGTGCAAGGTAGTCACTCACTTCAGACATTGTATTATTCAGGAGCCAGACATTCATAAGCAAGAACTCTGAAATAGAGTTTTCTTAAAACACAAACAAAAAACCTGTATGTCCAACCAGGTTTTCATTTTCATATCCATAGAGAATTATTAAAACTGTAGAAAATAATGGGGAAATAAATCAGAATTGTTTTAAAAATCAGTTTTTAATGCACATCAATACCATAATAAGGGTGTATGAATAAGTTATTGTATTTCTTTATTTTAACAGATCAATTGGAAAATACAAGTTTACAAATGGTTTAATCTGAATGATAACTACATTTTTCAATCTGCCTACAAAAAGAATTATTTCTTGTCAAACAGAAGGTGTTATTTTCTTCAAAACAATTCTGGCTTTTTCAGATGCACAGAAATGTGATGAAAATCACCTTTTTACAGAGAAGGAATAGAAAAAAGTGTTGCCCCTTTCCTGCTCTGGACTAGAGCAGACATCAGTCGCAGAAGAGCTGCTTACATGCTTTACTTGCTTGAGGAATTAGGAAAAGCTTCTCATTTGATAGAAGAACACTGGACTCACCAAATTAAAAACCACAGTCTCACCTCAGATTCACTTTTGACATTATGTCTGTACTAGTAAAAATTCATGGTGTTTGAGACTGGCTCAGGAGAATCCCATTTCAAAAATCCTTGTCTGAATTGGCAAACTGCTAATTGCTGCTCCTGCTGTGCCAGAGACCTTCTCTTCCCCTGAGTGTTTTCCCTGTTTTTCTCTCCAGGTTGTAGGTGACTCCAGCCTTCAGTCATGACTAGTTTCAGGAAAACCGAAATAGCATATAAGTGAATTTTTCTCTATGCCATAAACAAAAATCACTCCATTCCAGTAGAAAGCAATGGAAGATAAGTATATAAGGATATCGTAATGGAAACAATCAAAACTTGTTTCAAGTGTGGAGAATAGCTTTTAAAAGAGAACAGCAAACTGATTGCATTTGGATGTGATGATATTGCAAGTGACAGTCCAATTTTAAAATCAGAAATACATGAGCAGCCTTTAAGGATGAGGAACCCATTTGCATGTTTTTCACCTAAAGCTTCTAAATCAATCTTGTGCTTTCAGGGTTTTTTGGTAGCATATTTGGACTGATGGGTGTTTACATTTATGATGGAGAGCAGCTGTCAAAGAATGGATTTTTTCAAGGATACAATAAACTTACTTGGGTGGTGGTTGTTCTACAGGTGAGACCTTGTGTTGCATGTTTCTGTGAAGGCACTCAGAGATTTACTCTTCTATAAATAACTGGGGAAGCTAATGGGTGTTTTTGAAGGTGCTGAGAATCCTACAGTTGAAAGTCTGATCTATCATTATCATACTCTAAATGAAAATCTGGAAAATATATAGCAAGTATGTAATTAAGAATTGTGCAAATTAAAAACATGTGAGCATTATTTATTTTGTGATATTTAAAATTATCTCTCTAAATGACCTTCCTCATGTGGCTAAAAATGTACAGTATGAGCATTTCCACTCATTTAATGGTGGTAATGTGATCAACAATTTCTTTAATGGGTTAAGAAGTACTCCTCCAATATTTATTTTCAACAGTACATATTCCTAATGTAAAATAAATGTATTGCTCCTCCACATAGACAAAAGCATTTCCTAAAGTAGGTGCATGGTTTTAAAGCAGATGCTCTCAGTCAAACTATCAGTTTGTGAATCCAAACCTTGCTATTTTTCCAGGCACTTGGAGGGCTGGTGATTGCTGCTGTTATAAAATATGCGGACAACATTTTAAAGGGATTTGCAACTTCTCTCTCCATTATACTGTCAACATTGATCTCCTATTTCTGGCTGCAAGATTTTGTCCCTACAAGGTAAGAATTATTTTCCACGTATACTAAAAAAAATTAGTTCAAAACTTACTGCTTACCAGATGTAACTGCGAAAATAAATAAAAACCAAATCCCATCCAAGCCACACTTTCGAAATGTCTAGGTCCAGCTTGCACACCAAAGTTTAGCCTCATCCCGTGACTAAGACGGAGTTTCTCAGGGAGGTGGCTCGGGGTTCCGCGGCGGCCGCGCTCCCTGCGGCTGCTGCCGTGCCCGGGGCCGCTCTTCGGCCCGGCCGCGCCCCCTGCGGCCCCGCGCGGGCACCGCACCCAGCGCTGGGGCCGGGCCGGGAACGGGGCTGCGGCCGCTCCGCGTCCCGCACTGCGGGGCCGGGACGGGGCTGCGGCCGCTCCGCGTCCCGCACTGCGGGGCCGGGACGGGGCTGCGGCCGCTCCGTGTCCCGCACTGCGGGGCCGGGACAGGGACATGGCCTCTGTGCTGCCTTTCATCGCCCGCACCACGGGCTCTAACACAGGTGATTGCAGTCACGCACTGTGGAAGTGATGCTCCACCTCTGAGTTAAGGACACCCAGAAGCTCAAAGGCAGAGCTGTTTCTAAAGGCAATGCCATGTTTAGTAGTGAGAACAGCCGAGAAAGAAAAAGAAGTGCTTTCTCCGTTCTTCTAGGCCCCGTACAGTGTCCTGATGCTTTGGGGATCAGACTGTGGTGCCTCTGTGTGCCACAGGTTTGCACAAGGGTGGGTTGAGAACACTGCTGTCTTGGCAGTGCATGTTCCTGTATGGAGTGTAGAATTAATAATTCCACTTCCAGGTGTAGGAATAGGGTTTTACTTGTGACTGACCAACACTCCTTGCATATGTTACAAGTACTCATAACATAAAAATATTTTTAATAATATTTACGACTTTTGTATCTGGTGCAAAGAAACATCTTTTTATCTAAAAACATATATTTGCAATACTATGGTCCCTTCTATCCCTACCCATTCTGTGATTCTGTATTATCAGGGCTTAAGCATTCAAAAAAGGAAATGGATAGCTGTTTAGGCTTAAGAAGTGGAAGACATTGAACTTAAATTATAAGTAGATTATATTTGTCCCATTAAAACAAATGTAGAAAGTGCTTTAAGAATTTCTGCATGTTTAAATGGAAAATTAATAAGTAACTTAACAGCTTCTGCAAACATGTTGAAAATTAAATACAGCCAAGTAGCAGTATGTAGAACTTGAAGTGATCCCATTTAATAAGACTTTACTAACTTGAGTTAATCAAACTTAATCTTTAGCACCGTGCTTATGCTAACAGTGCATTTGAACTGGAGCTGTGTAATTGTTTCCGTCACATAACAAACAGTTTTGATAGGGGTAATAGATCTAAAGTACCTAAATGCTTGAATGTGTTGCAAGGGGCCATGTCCCAAAGTGGGCTAAATGTATTCTCTGAAGGATTATCATGTCATATGCCACAGTTTTTTTAGCATTTGGTTCAGAAGATGAAATTGTTGATGTTGTCATGTCTGTGAGGAGATTCTTTTCTAAAATGCATACTGATCATCTCCTGGCTTCAGTTATTTTGTATCAGACTTTAACTATCAAAACGACTTGAAAGACCAAAATGTCACAATAAGGAAGATGCCTTTATTGTGTTTTCATGAGACAAATCTTTCTGTATCTGGCAAAAATTAGATTATATTGACTTGCAAACTGGTTCTTGGGCAGCAGTAATTTGTTTCGACATAAGCTTTGCACTTGAAAGCAAACAGAGCTCCAACAATGCAGTATAAGAATGGGTGGGTAACCACAGAAGCTGCTTTTCTTCAGCTCCTGCTTCCATTTTGCACACATTCTTTAGGTAAAAGTTTAAGAAAAAAAGGATTGATCTGGTTGCTTTTGGAAATTGTTCCATGAAAGTGTATTTTTAATTTTCAGAATATGTTAGTATAATGACACCTTAAATTGTGGTTACAAGTTTCTTACCTCAACAACTTTTTGCATCCCTCTAAAATATATACACACAAATTATTTTGCTCTTAATGCATTGGACAAATATAATTTATCTTTCTGTTTTCCTCATGGAAAAATGTCCTTTCTTTTGATTGTATTGCATAAATAAATTTACATCAACTAAAACAAACTTTTTTTTTTCATCCCTATTCTATTCAGTGTCTTTTTCCTCGGAGCCATCCTTGTAATAGCAGCTACTTTTCTATACGGTTATGATCCCAAACCTGCAGGAAATCCCATTAAGGCATAGCAGACTTCTCATCAACCTGCTTCTGGAGATCATGCACTGGGGGCCTTGCTAGCACTGGCATGTGGGAAGTGTCACTGTGCACTGCAAGGGAAGGATGACTGCCCTGATTATATGGAAGAAATGCTGAAGAGCAGTTCTGAACAGCCAGAGGGGTTACAGGTGGAGGGTGATGCTGTCTGCAACTGATGGGGGGGAAATGTCAGGGGAATGCCCAGTGCAACTTGCTAATAAAAACTTGAAAGGAGCCAAAAGTTTCCAAGAAACTACAATTAGGAATGTTTACAGCTTTTGACTGAGATTGCATCAAAAGAATACTGTATTGACTGCTGCAGAAATGTGTCCTATGCACTCTTTGAAAGAGCACACGACAACATTGTCAGATTGTATGTTTTTGCTATTCAATTCTATTTAATCTCAGTAAATATGTTTTTAACTGTTTGTCTATTTACGTGAAATGAGCAGAAAGTCATAGTTCTAAAGTGATGGTTCTAATTAGGTACTCCTTATTAAAACTGAAAATTGAAGTATGATTGAAAGACACTTTCACAATATCAAATATTTTTATATTTTTAGAAGGCTGATTTAATAACAGAAATCTGTTATTAAATTATAATATTATAATTCTGTTGCTTCTATAAAACTGTTGTAAGAATGTTAACATTCTCACTGAAGTACAAAGGGAGGAATACTCCAGCCTTCATCAGCCTGTAGTGTTGGAGCAGATGGAATAACTCTGGGAACCCAGGCTGGAGGTTACCACACTAATGTGAGAGCAGCAGTAGGGTTGTGATGGGTGCTTGCTCAGATGTGATGTTAATTCTTTATTTTTTTTTACTAATTATAAATCAACTTTTTAGTAGAAACTTAAAAGTAGTTTTTGTGCTTCAAATAGCCTCTGAAGACTTTTTAAACCATTATTTCGAAATCAAAGAGCTCATAATAAGCATTTTAAAGGCGTTATCAATTGTCTGTAACAGCTCCATCTGGAGATATTATGGTATGGCATCTGTATACTGTACTGTACTTTGTTACAGAGGTGTTTTTTAAACAAGTGTTGTTTACTCATGAACTCTTCCAGGCTTTTTCTGTATATTTCTATGTAATGGCTTAATTAGAGTTTTGGTGGGGTTTTTTAAATTATTATTATTTTGTTCTGAGAGTCCTTGAGCCAACAGACCAAAATGGGTTCTCTAGACCTATTTGTTCTAGTAGTGGAATTACTTTAATAGGAAATATAATTTAAAAGCAATTAATTGTGCAATAGGTAAATACAAAAGCATGCTGTTATTCTGTTTAAAACAAAAACTTCACAAAGAAACTTTGCTGCAATTAGATCAGTTAGACTGTTATGAACACTTCACTTGAAGAATTTGCATATAGTCAGAAACACAAAAAAAAATGAAACTAATAAACAAAAAAAAAACTGTCTTAAAAATCATTGGGTTTCAGGTTCACAATGGATGTTAATGTCGGGTGACACCTGTGATGGTGCATTTATATAAAAGCATTTCAGGAGTCCCTTACCAGTAGAACGGCAAGTGGTAAAAATTCCGTTGTTCTCTCCATGCCACCACCTCCTCCATGCTGTTTCTCACATCTGTCTTGTACTAAACAAAATGTGTGATAGAAACGTGTTTTAAAATGTTTACCAAAGTACCTCATTTGATTGACAAGGAGATTCTGTAGGAGTGCTCTGAGCTTTCTTAGTGAAGTATTGTAAATTAGAAAGGAAGAATTCCACTTATGTCAGTCAAGTAAAAATAGTTTCTTTCTTCTGTTGGCAATTACATGTTTTATCAACATTCTGTTTGTTTGTCTTATCAGAGCAAGACATTAAAGAAATATCAGAGCTCTGCCTAGGGCTTGCTAAGCTTTGTGAACTGTGAATCTCTCCCAGCATGTTGTAATTGCAGTAGCTTTGCTACTTGGTGATCAACTATCTAAATGGGCGTTCTATGTTAATATTAAATCTTTTACATGTAACATTCAATGTGGCAATGTAACAATCTTTGAAAAGTCCCATGTAGCCATTTCCCCCTGCAGTGCAGCCTGAGGTAAGACGTGTGCGTAGAGCAGCGGCTCACGGCGGTGCCAAGTACAGAACGGGACCTGCACAGCTCTGAAATGAGGTGGGAGGTGTTGGTAGTAATCTCTCAGCTGGAGTTTGGCCCTACACAGTTATACTTTTGATTTCGTAAAACACAGTAGTGGGAGTGTTCAAGTGATATAATTGGTTACTTTCTTAAGAAAAGTCTCCAAAAAACATAAAAGGCAGGCTGAGAACACTTTAAAGCCAGTTGTACAGGAAGGAACCAAAAAAGCCAAATAATTACCACGTGGCTGGAACTCTGGGATATGTAGCCTGGTTTTAATATTTCAGGTGCACCTGTCAATGTTTGCCAGGATGTTTAAAGGAAGCACCAGGCATATGTGCTCTTTGCTTTGGAATAGGATGCCATGCAGCTTTGGAAAACTGTCTGCTGTACTAAGGAACAGTAGCTCCTTTCTGTAAAGGAACAGTAACTCCTGTCTGGAAATCAGTGACTTCCATGCTTTCACTTGACAGTCCAATTCTGTTTTCCAGCAGAAGGATAGATCTCGTCACAGACTTGTGGCTGAAAAGGAAGAGTGAATTAGAATTTTTCTCTGTGTTTCCTCACAGAGAGGAAAAGCTCTTCTCCGAGGTGTGACTCTGGACAAGGGGAGGTAGCACGTGTTTTGTGAGAACAGGAGGGATTTGAGGAGGGCTGACTGATTTCTGTAACCTTTGCATCGGGGACCATATGCACATTTTCTCACTGAGATACTTTTGTATTTGGATTTTTATTTTTTTAAGTAGCATTAAGTCTATAACTCATTAACTAACCAAAGAGGAATAGCTAGCACAGAGTTTTGGGAGGTACTGGATAATGAGCTTTGAGTTATCCCTGAAAGCAAATGCTGTAGGAGTGCAACTTCCCAAAAATAAACTTGTCTTTCTGAACTATTTTCTGATTTTTAGACAATGGTTTTGTTACTTTAGTTGTATGTTTAGGAAGCTAACCTATACTTAGCAGAATTTTGTTTAAATATTTATAAAGTTATAGAAGTTATAGCTAGCTATTTATTTGCAATAACTTGAATTATGTGATTTTTCTTTCTAGACATATATTGGGTATACTGGTATTTATTGAATACTTGGATATTTGGTAGTTTTATTTGAGAATCTCTGGGATACATGGTAAATGGTCAAATAATTATAAACTTAGGACTATCTTCAAAGCAAAATAGATCAGTTCAGTGGTAAAAAAAACTTGAGTCTAATAAAGTAAGATAAATTTGTCTTTCAACATTGTATTTCTAAGCAATCCATAAGTCCCCAAAAATGTATTTTCTCAAAGAATTCAGATAATTGTGTAGTTTTATTCAACTTCATTGTTTTAGACAAACTTTAAGAAAACATCCCTTTTTATTTGTTTCAGTAAAGGTTAGATTAATGTTCTAGATTAAACTTGTACAGTGTAATACTTTTTTTTTTACTACAATGTTTTATTAACTATTGTTTTATTTTTCCTCAAGAAGAGAAAACAATCCCATTTTGCTCATGTTCCATGCACATACAGGCCTCTCAGAGACTCTTAGTAGTACATAATTCTTTTGTGTGTGTTTCTAACTTATTTTTGTGGCTGTAATTCCAAATACTGTAATAGATTTTGTTAATTTTTTAAAATTGAGAAATGAAACATTGCATTTCTTCTGGTTTTTGTTGTCAGTAACTTTCATATTTGAATGTATTTCCTGGTCAGCCCTGCATGTTCTATTGTATTTAAGCAATTGTCATTTTCCAGATTTGAATTTGTTGCTCATTTTCCTCCTGGTGACAATGTTTCTTGCTGGATATTGTGTTGAGGAGGATTATTCATTCCTTTCATATCTGAATCTATGTTTGTGAGAATGAGTTATTAAAAAACAGTAAGGGTTTTTTTTCTTTGTGTGTGTATTAGAAAAGTAACAGTTATGTATAGCATGGTATTATACCATATATGTGTAACCTGAAACGGTGCATTACTGTGAGAAAGACCAAATAGTGTTTCCTTGCCTTTGTTTTAATTGTTCTTTTCATTTTTAATGCTGATTATTTTCCACAGGAAGAGAATCCTGCCCTTTCCAGGTAAGCTCATTGTATGTTTTTAGGTATCTAGAATTAAGACATTTTACTAAAGAAAAATTTGGGGCAAAATGCGACAAAATACGTGGAATTGATTAGATCATATGCTTCAGTTATTGTCCAAAGTTCTGTTCAGTTGAATTCTTACCTTTTTATAAGTATTTCTCAGCTGAATTTATAACTTTCTAGGAGAAAAAATAGTGACTGACTTGCCATTCAGTGCTTGTTCTTGTTCTTGAATGTCTGCTGCACATTTGCATCCAAGAGTAGATGTGGCACATTAACTTGTCAGCAAACTCCCATCATCATTCTGACTGTAATTAGCCATATTCACTTCATTAGTGATTTATAGCTCAGTAAGAATTGCTTATATGCTAAGCATATGTTTGTGTTTGCTGCCATGAGTATGATTTTTTTAGATTTTTTAAAATTTTGTCCTTATTGTCAATATATGAGCCCAAATATATTATTCAAACATTGTAGCAAAATTTCTAAGGTAGTCTTAGTTTTTTATATGTTGATATTTGTGTGTGATTACATTGAATACAGTTCCAATATATGGTGATTCCAGGCAGTTTGGAAAAGGTTTTTTTTTTGGTCTAACACTGCTGAACACTGGAATGCATCTTACATGGCCTAACACAGTCCTTCTTTTAATCCATGTTGAGGTAAAATACTGTATTTTATTTTCTTCTATATGAGTAGATAACGCCACTATAGTAATAAACTGGTTGAAATTAAGCAGTGGCTTTATTAAGAATATGATTTTAAACTGTTTGAGAGCTTTGTTGAAAGGAGAGGCTTGTCTTATGCATATTTTTGCAGAAATAAAACAACATTTTAGCTAATGCTTATTATTTCACAATGTAATTTTAGTATAATTTTCTATAAATTCTAAGGTTATTGGATGGTTTTTTTGATGGTATCTTTTAACATACATCTTACTGAATGATGCCAGCAATTTAATTTTGACTGAGACGTGCTTCTTTTTGACCATTTTGTCATGACTTCTTGCAGTGTTCTTGTGATGCTCTTCTGGTCTGAAACCCCAGCTGTGCCCTGAGCCAGGGGTGGTAGGGAGCACCTGAGTATCAATACCGACTTATAGTGTGGGCTGTGGCTGTAAAACACTGTAACACTGTAAGGAGCTATGAATGGCTGTAATTTATAGTGTATCAAAGACCTGAGCAGAGTTCACAAGCAGTTTCTGTAGATGATGGATAACATGTTTCTCTGCCCGTTCTGCAGATTCATTTATTGTAACTGGGTCATTTCACCAGCAGTTTTCAGGACACTTAATGTCTATCAGTTTCTTTGGTCAATTTGGCCCTGCTCTGAATGTTAACATGCAACATGATTTAAACTGAAAATTTTATGCTATTAGGTAACAAATTAATGATTCCTTATCTAGGGACATTGTTCTTCAAGACTGGTGTAAAGGCACTCCCTGAGGAATCTTACCTGAAACTAGTGAAAGCATCATCTACCTGTGCTTTGGAATACCCCTAGGGAGATAAGTATTCTGTCCTTTTTGATCCCTCTTCCAAAATGATGGAAATGTCTTCTACAGCTAGCAGGTAGTAGTATTTACGTAGTATAGAGGGTTGAACACTGGGGGTGTTTAGATGTTACAGACAATTCTTGTTTCTCTTCCTCAGGAGTTTGTGTTAAATAACGTTAAATATTAAGGTTAATGTTATGTTAATATATAAGTTAAATAATGTTAGAGCAGGTTATGTCGGGACTTGTGTAGGTGAGTGGAGTTTAATATTTGAAAATATGTAGCTTGCTGAATTTCATGACAGCAACAGCAAATTTATTCTACATTCTCATTATTTGAATCATCTACTCTGTCTACATGAGCAAACTTGATAGTTAAATGCATTTTGAGTAATGACATCAATATCAGGTGTTGGTCTAATATGAAGGTATGGATAGACAACCATCTTGTCAGCCTGGTTACCAAATGACTTTGCTGACATTGTAGTTGTGTTGACTTTTTACATGAATCCCTTACATGTCACCTACATGCCTGTGTGTGACTTTCCCACCAAAATCTAACAGCACTCTGAGGAATAGACTTGAAACTGTGTCAGCATTTTTGGACCCCTCTCCTTTTCAAGTAGAATTGGGACAGAATTGTCAAATACTTCATGTGACACCCTGATACTTGTAACAAATGACTGATAATAGCAAACATTCTAGACCCGCTAGACACCTCTTGGTTTCATGAGCTGGAGTCGGCTTGTCTTTGTCTAGATCCATTGGTGTGAGTAGGGCTGAGCATCGGCAAGTTCTAAATTCCTTTAAAGGTGCATTATGATGAGATAAGAGGCGCTTGATCTTAAGGCTGAGGGTTTAACCTAAGCCCACACGGTCTTAAGCGGTGAGTGATTGACACCCGTTAGGTAACAGGGGCCGTCTGTACCTCAGGGATAAGTTCCACTGTTGGCAGGGACAAAAAGCTGTTCCTGTGTAGCTGAGGTTTTGGGGGAAACGGGGATGTCACAGGAGCTGGGGAGATGGAGATAAGCAGCGAGAGGGCTGAAAGACAGAGGACTAAGAACATAGGGACTGATAATGGATACAGCCATGGAGGCTTGTGTCTGTATCATGGCTGTAATGCTGTAGCACGGACAGTTGTTGCTCCTTAGTGATGCCAGACATCAACAGCAGATGAATCTGTAAGCTACAGAAAGCCTAATAATGCCGGCAACATGTTACTAAAAGATTGTCTCCACTAATTGGCATGCTGCTATGGGGAAGCTGATCCCTGTTATCTTGTTACTTGCAGGCGCTGTGGTAAATCAGAACCTGGGATGACCTGCCCGTTTGAAGGTCTGAGAGCTTTCGTTTAAAGCTTGATAGTAAGAAAGAAGAATATCTGTCTGCGAGCTGGATCATTAGGGTGATTATATCTGTTCGTGTACTCTGGCTCTAGAAATGTCAGGTATATCCCGTTCTAACTGCCTTCCTTTGGTCCTTTTCTCCGGGCGCCTCAGCAGCTCCAGGGGCCGGGTGTTTTCATTCGGGAGGGACGGGTGATGCTTGCGGGGCCATTGGAGAACCTGAGGCTCCCGCGGGGCCGCGCTCGGTGCTTCTGCCGTGGCGTTGTCAGGCTGGGGGTGCCGGAGGCTGGGGGGCCGCCCAAAGGCGCCGCTGTCCCGGCGCGGTGCCGCTCTCCCGGCCGTGCCCGCACTTCCCGGGCCGGGCAGGCGGGGGGGGCGCCCCGCACACGTGAGCGGCGCGCGGCCAATGGCGCGATCGCGTGATGCGCAGCGCCGGCTGCGCGCGCGGCGGGGTGCGCAAGATGGCGGCGGGCGCGTGAGGGGTGGCGGCGGCCGCGCCGGAGGGACGGAGGGAGCCGAGGCCCGAAGGGAGCCGGGAGGGGCCGCTGGTGCCGCCCCCGGGGTGCGATGGTAAAATGACCCAGGCGGGGAAGAAGAAGAAGCGCGCCGTGAACCGCAGTATCATGCTGGCCAAGAAGATCATCATTAAGGACGGCGGCACGGTGAGGCCGGCGGCGCGGCGCGGCGCGGCCCGGGGGATGGCTGGTGGATCGCGGTGCCCTCACGGCCGCCGCAGCCGCGCTCGGCAGCCGGGCCGGTGTCCGCGGGGCGGCTGCCCCAGCACACCTGTGAGCGCGTCGGGCTGCTCCGCTCCGCCCGTGAGCGCGGTTGCCTCCTCGTGTGGGCCGGGTTCTGGGTCGCGGGAGCGAGTGCGGCCACAGGCGCCGGGCCTGGGGCACGGCGGGTCGTTGGGGCCGCCCGAGGTGAGCGGAGCATGTCCGAGCCCAGGCTCGCCGAGCGCGGCTCCCGTGAGCGGCGGCCGCGGGGCGCGGGCAGGAGGGCCACGGCGGGGCCGGGGCGCGCTGTGCCCGCGGTGCCCGCGGTCAGACGGAGCGGGCCGAGAGGGGAACAGCGCCTGAGCGGTTCCGCAAAGGGCGCCTGGGAGAAAGGTTTTGCGGTTCTTCCCACTCTTCTGCTTCTTCGTAAATACATGAATTCAAAGAAGAAAGGAAGTTGTTAAGTGTTTGGGCTGCTGAAGCTTGGAGTTGGTTTGGGTGTGGTGTTTGGTTTCATTTTTTTGGGTTTTTTTTTTTTTTTTTGTATTGATAAGTGCCATTACTTCCAACGTATCATTGCCCCTGGATTATTTCCAATGTGTAACACTATGTAGCTTCGATGTGCCCTGTTCTAAATACAGTGCCTTTACATTATTTCCAACGTATCGTTGCCCCTGGATTTTTTTCCGCTGTATAACACTATGTAGCTTCGATGTGCCCTGTTCTAAATACAGTGCCTTTATTTCAAATGAAGAGACATCTTGACAGACTGAATTGCTGATTTAGCAATTGTTGGCCCTTCGGTTTGTCTTTTTAGAGCACTAACAGAAGAGACAGGTGTGAGAGTCACTATACTTGTTCATCGAAGTGGCCAGCTGGCTGGATTACTGAAGTTTCAGGAAGCAAAATGAATTCTGGTATTGGTTGTTGGTGTTTTTCAGGATGTGTTTCTGCTGTTTGTAAAGATATAAATGTATGTGATTATCTTGTACAAATGTTAAATGCAAGTATTTTAGATTGAGTAGTACAAGCAGAGTAAATGCTGTTACTCAGGGACATGGTGCTTCATCATTTCTCTCTGCAGTAGCATTGGTTAAGATACAGTGTGTTTCCTATCGTCCCCAGCCTGTCAAATTTAACTTTCCTTTGCCAAGAGAGGAGAAAGTATGTTACAATTAACTGCATTCTGTGATACTTTTAGTACACCCTTCCATGCCTGCCACCAGTTTCAGAAGCTGAGTGCCAACTCCCGTGAGTTCTGTATTAATTTAATTTTTGGAAGTCACATAGAAATGAGCCATAAACAATAGATGAAGGTATGTAGATTGTTTGGCAACAAAAACTTCCACTTG